CTCCAACCTCCATGGGCTGGGCTTCAATTTACCATGGAAGGCAAATGAGGGTTTTGGTAAAATGCATGAACAGGCTAATTGGAGGCTAATTAGGGAGTCAGTTGATCACAGAGCACTGACACAAGAGAAGCCCCCAGGATCCAAGTGGCAGGGAGCGCTGCAGAAGGATGGCTCATGAGTGAAGGTGCAGTTCCCAAAAGAGTAGTTTTCTGTCAAGCTGTCAGCAGGGTTTGGTGCTTTTCCAGAGGTGCAGATGTACTTGAGCAGTGGGAAGCTGAGAGCTAAAGCAAGTCCACCCTGCCTGCTTCTGTGAGCCTGTTCCTCCTGCATCTGCAGCACAGAGGGATGGATGGGCTCGTGCCTGGGCTGGGATTGCAGTCCCAGGCTTGGAGTGGCACTGTCACCAGCTGGGGTGCAGCTGAGCAGGGCTGGGTGCCCCAAGCCCCTGTGCTGTCACAGATGTGTTTGCCACCCCAGCAGAGCAGGCTCCAGCTGTGCTGCACATCTGCCTGAGTCACCAGGGTGAAAAACATGAAAATAACAACACAAAAGCTGCTGGTTTGCAGCAAGGAATGGGGAGCTGGGAGTTCCTCCAGCAATGTGTCCCAGGAATGGAGAGGAGTGGCAAAGCAGCAGCTCAGCAGTGCTGATCCTCGTGTGGCTGCAGAGAAGGTGCTCAGCAGTCGGCTCAGGCGTTCGTCTGCTCCCACGCTGACAGATGAAGTGTCCACAAAAGCAAACCAGCTGCATTTCAATGGTGGCTGCCTGGGCTGAATGCTGCACACTCAGGTTTGAAATGAAATTCCAGCTCGTTGCTGTGCTGACAAGCTGCAGATGATGGCTATGAACATGACACACAGTTCAGTCTCCCAGCTGCTCATCCTGGCCTCTGCTCTGGGCTTGCCAGAAAGTTCCCTTCTCCCTATCAGAAAGAGGAGATAAAATATTAGAAACTGCTTTATTAGCACAATATTGCTGCTGTGAGATTGGTGAACCCTAAGGCTGGTAAAGTCCAGTTGTTTCATAAGGTGCAGCTGTATTTTCCTGAGCCTTTTTGAAAGAGGTCATGAAAAAAACCAAACAAGATCATGAGCCAGCAACTGTGGGTTTGGTGGATGTCCTGAAGGGAGTAACAGAAAACACAGGGAGAGGGAGTTTTTATGGCAGCACTGTGTTCATGCTTCAGTAACTCAGAGCATCTGTTTGAGCTTTGCCTGCCATGATGGGTGAGGCAGAATCAGGAGATGTCATGTAATTGGGTTTCCATAAAGAACGTGATATCAAACATTCATGAGCAAGGCAAAAATTCCCAGAAAATAAGGTGGTATCATCTCAAACTGTTGCAGATGGGGAATTCTTCTGAAGATGTGCAAAAGCAACACTATTTGACAGCTTGGGCACTTTTTATTCCTTCCCTGGAAGATGGTCTACAGTGGTAGGAGAAAATTACTGAAGTATCTGAGGGTTTTTTGGTTTTTTAAAATATTTTGAGGTTTTTAGCTGGCTTTATGAAAAAAAAGAGGGGATTTGAGGGATTTTTGTTGAACTGTTAGAGTGCTGCTGTCATTTGATTTATTCTGAATGAGCAGCAAAAGAGAGAAATAGAAGCTTCTCTGTGAGTGATTAATTTTCACAAATGTGAATTTTTCCTAGCAAGAGCAAGAGGATTTCAACACAGGCTGGTGTGAGGCTCTGCAAATGCCAAGTGTCTCCTCTTGGGAGATTGAAAACAAAGTTGGCACCAATGATTAGTGGCCGATTTGGCAAAAGTTGCTGAAAATTGACATCTGAGGGAGAGGTCTTGGGACGATTTAGTAAAACAGTGCAGTTTGAGACTACTTTTGTGGTGTTACTGTGCAAAGTGCAGGGGTGATCAGAAGGAATGTAATGTGGAAAACGTGAAGGACGAATTAGGTGTCTTACTTAGCTCTTTGTGCTTTCTCTTGAGCTTTTCAAGCATATTGTTAGCAGTACAATGATACAGCAAAGTTGCTGACGTTGACTAAGGAAAGTTAAGATGCCAAAACACCACAAATTTTTCATTTACTACATATGCAACTTTGTTTCTCTTCCTCTTTGCTAAGATATGGGTATTAATTTCACTTGGATGTAACAGTCAGTTAGGAGCAATTCATCATCAGGAGCCTGGGAGGCAGAGCAGCACTGGAGGAGGGCTCAGTGGGGTTTGTGGACAGGCGTGTGTGGAGGCATCCCTGCCTGCCCAGGGACAGCCTCTGGGAAGGAGCACTGGGTGGGAAATTGGGATATGAACCAGAAATCTTTGCAGCTACTGTTGTGAATGTTTTGAGCTGTGTTTCTGGTCTTGGGATGGTTCCAGCACCAGCTGGAGCCAGTGTGGCTTTCCCTCTGCTGGGAAGCACATGGGGTCGGTGCCTCAGAGGTGCCAGTGCCCAACACTGGGTGTGTTGTCCTGAGGGGTGAAGGAATTGTGTATGTGTGGAATTTTTATTCTCCCAAGAAAGTTCAAAGTGGTTGGTTGGCACCTAGTGGGAGGGAGATGACTTCCAGGGAACCTCCTGATAACTTTTCTCAGGAGTTGGCAGGACTGTAGGGACTACAGTGTGACAGTGATGAAGTGAGCAGCAAAGAGGGAGGACAGGTAGTTTTTGCTGCAGGATGGTAGGATCACATTTTGCCTCTGGCTGATTTACTCACAGCAGGAATAAAGGTACTGTGTCAGGAGTTAGTTTGACACATAAGGGAGAGAAATAAAAGCACAAAAGCTCAAGATGCCTTGACAGCCAATCACCCACCCAAATAACAGCCCCCCAGCAGCAGAGCTTGCTGTTCACAACCCCAGTGTATGGCTCAGGCTCTGCCCCTGCCCAGCACTGCTGCTCTGCAATAGCAGCTCTGATAGCCTTGCCTTGCTGCTGATTGCTTTAGCTTTTTATGCAGAGCAGAGAGAAGACATGACCTGCAGCCCCTGCCAGCCTAGGCATTTTCTACAGAGCATTTAAGATTTATGGTCATATTTTACAGTAACTATGATTTGTCTTATAGATAATGAATATATGATTGCCCCATGATCCCATAGTCATGGCTTGGTCATTACTCCTGAGCACTAGCAAGGAAATTTTAACACTGAGGTTTTCCTGTGGAGAAATCCAGCAGGCAGGGCTGGAGCCTGATGGAGCTGCCTCCAGTGCTGCCAGGCCAGGCTCATTCACCCTCCGTGGTACACCTGGGAGTGGCAGCTGGCTCTGCATGAGGAATGAATTCTCATGCTGGATCATGGATTCTGACCAGAATAATTGTAAAAGTTGTGGCCCCAGGAGCAGGAGCTGCTGGGAGCCCTGAGGCTGGCAATGAGAATGTGGTGGTTGTGTTTCTTAGGTACATCAAATACTGCTGTTTGGGGAGAAGGACGCTGGGGCTCCATGGGGGTGTTGGACACCACGTGGCACCTTCTCTCTGTGCACAGAGCAAGGGCAGCTCTGCCAGTGCAGTGCAGAGGAGATCCCTGCAGCTGTGGCTCTCAGGACAAGGGTGTCCTTGAAGCTTGCTGGAATCTGGCAGGAAGCTGTGTCTTTCAGGGGCTGTCCTTTGCCTGGAGGTCTCTTCAAGGAGAGCAGAGAGCAGCTTCTCAGCACACAAGGCACCGCCTCTCTGGCTGGTAACTTGTGTGCTCCATGGGGACTGGGGATGCCTGGTGTGTGTCCCTCCTGGCAGCCACAGGCTGTGCAGGTTGGTGTGTTGTTGTCACCTCAGTGGGGAGTTGAGGGCACTCTGCTCAGGCTGCACATTGCCCAGGACCTGCTGACACAGCAGCCTGAGGCAGCAAGGCTCAGGCAAGAGCACAGATGTTCTTGTAATGAGCACAGTGATCTGGTGACTCATTCCCTTCCCAAGCAGCCACTTTTGATGTGAAAACTTCAATAAGTGGAAATGGAGAATCCACTTTTGTAACGTTTCCAAGAGCTGTTTCTCATTTCTGGTTTGAAGGTGATGGCTTGGGCTTCCTCCCTTTGCTTCCCATTATATTTCTGTGAATGAAGCATTGGGACCTTTACTCAACCCTCTGTACTTCTGCTGACCTCTCTGAGTCTTTCCTGACATTTCCTAAAATCAAGAGGTTCTCAGTAGTGATTCCAGTCTCTTATAACGCAAATGGTAATAATGATATGAATGATAAACATTGTTATTCTGTAGGATGAAATGTCAAGATTCCATATTTTCATGTTAATTTTTAGTAGATAAGTGCCACATTAAGCATGTCCATCCTGTCAGGGAACATGCTTTTCATATCACAGGAACTGTTAGAAATCATTAGTAATGAAGGAGACAACTGTTGTGCCTGGTGGGCTGGCCTGTGACATGCAGTAATGCAAAGTGACATGGAAAATTTGGAATGAAGGATGAAAAGCTGTTTAAAAAATTGTGGACGTAGCTATAAATTTATTAATCTCATATCTAAAATGTGGTGCTGAGCTGTGATGATAAATAGGATCCATTTCACTACTGTTGGAGTGCATGTGTGTAACTCAGAAAGGAGCTAAAGGGTTGAGGCTGGGGCGACTGGCTTGGTGGTACCTGAGTGGATGGCAAAAGGCTGTACTGGCAACTGCACTTACCTTGAAATAGGAATCTGTGGGCAGTAATATCAGATCTCTAGTTGTTCTAAATAGAGGCTACACTGGGTAGCGCAGGATCCCTGGACAGTGTATTCTGTTAGAAGTACTTTTAAGCAACAAGTATTTTACTCAAACAGCTCTGTTCTTCTCATCAAGACATTGGTATGACCTGCTGCTCTTTGGGGTCTATGCAGTATTACTTTGTAGAAAGTATTGCTTTTACTTTGTAAGCTAAAAATATTTTGGTCATATTTCTCTCTCATTTAGGCAGTTTTTAACTGACATTTCGTGAAACCAACGCTGTTATACAACGCTCAGAACACAACAAATGCTGCTACTTCAAATGAACCTGAGCTGAAACCTGAACCTCTCCTGGCTGGTAACTCTCTGTGTGTTTGCTCCCAGGCTCCAACCTCACTGTCCTGGACCCTCTGGGCAGCGCTGTGGGCCTGGCTGAGGAGCAGGTGCAGGGCTGGAGGCAGCGCCGCCGCCGGCACGCCACGGAGGACGACTACAACATCGAGGTGCTCCTGGGCGTGGATGACTCAGTGGTGCAGTTCCATGGGAAAGAACACGTTCAGAAGTACCTGCTGACCTTGATGAACATTGTGAGTACAGCCCCGCTCGCTGCCCTGTGGGAAGGCTCTGAAAGGGCTGGGAATGTAGGTTGGGCAAGCCATTTGAATAAGACGTAACAGATTTTGTTCGTGGCAGGAGATAAAATAACTCTAGGAGGGAAATCCAGGCCACTTTCAGAAAAATCCAATGGGGGAAAAGCAAAAAAAAAAAAGAAAGGAGCCAAGACAGAAGCTGAGTGTGGGACTGTTAAAATGTTCAAAGTCCTTCTTATGTGCTTTGGTGGGTGGGACACAAGGTCAGGGGCTCAGGTTTTTGGAAGTCATTATGTTTCAGCTGTATATTCCCTTAACCTAAGCTTCCTGCTGAGGAACACGGTTTGGAGAGCTGTCTTCAAATAAGGTTCTAACAGAAATTACAACTGGCTTTTAAATTTTTAAAACTACTCTGCTGAATTCTTTGATTTCTCAACAGCCACTTTAGGTCCCAGGCCACCTCCCTGCTCCTTGTTCACACTGCAGTAAAATGTTATGCAGTGTAACTCAAGCCTTCTTAAATTGATTTAGTATTTACTCCATGACTGACATCTTTAGGTTTCCTTAGTTAAATATTTAATCTTCATAACCATAGTCTGTGTAATAGACTATATAGTGTAGGAGTGATGAAAGGAGACACTAGGGAATATTATGTTTGAAAGAATCACTTTTTATTTCTAAACATCAATGCAGCAGCCCTCTAATACCCCAGACAGTAAGCAAGGACACTATTTTTTGGAAAAGAATGAAGACTTGAAAAACCATCCGTAGTACAGATAAAAATCCAAATATATTTTGTTATTTTGCCGAAGAAATAGAAGTCAGTGGTAGCCCCCCTCATAGGCAACTCATTTGGGGATGACTTTCTTCATTCTCCTTCTCGTCTGGAACAGGAGTCTTTTCTAAAAAAGACACACTTCTGAAAAAGCTTTGGCCTCAGTGAATGTGTATTCTTAGTAAAATAGTGTTGAGTAAAAAAATTGTAGGTCTGCTCTGTTTTTGACAAATGGAGTCTGACTGCTGAAGTTTACAGTCGTGTCAAGAGGATGAGCCTGTAGATGACTCCTTTCACTTTGCAAACCACAGAGGCAGAAATCCAGGCTGTTAGGTAGATTTGTCTGGGATGTAGTTTTTCCAAGATATATTTTTTTAATTATGAAGCTTGGTCTTTTTCCTTCTTTATTACGTTCTTTTAGCAATGTGCAGAATATCACTGTTTTTCATTTTAAATTAGAGGTGGAATACAATTTGAGAAAATCCCTTGTGTGATATAAATTCAGTTATGACTTTTTGTAACAGCATTGTAAATAGTTAAAAACCTGCTCTGACATTAGAATTATGGAGTACTTGGTGTCTGCTCTGATGGCTGTAAATGCATATATTCTAACAGAAATGACATAGTGAATTTAATTTATTTGTGTGGTTTGTTTCCTCTGAGGCTTAAAACAAAGTCTACAGTGAAACAGATGGTTTTATGCATCTCTAAATTAACAAGTCAAACAGGCCAAACCAGGAATGTGGCAAACAGGCCAAAATAGATTAAACAGGACTCTTTACTTATCATGTCACTTAAATCTATTTTTAAGAATTAAAATATACAGTAATGGTAAAGAAGCCATAAATGTTCCAGCTCTGGAATATACTTTCTCCTAATTTTAGTAAACCAAACCAAGACACAAATTGCAAGAAATAACAACTCTTCAGCAGCCTGTCTCTGCAAGTGGTTTAGAAAGTGCAGCCTGTGTAACCATCCCCACAGGGCACAGCAGCTCTTGGCACAGGCAGCAATTGTTCTGTTGAGAGCTCTGAGGTAGAAACATGTCTTTTGGGGACTGAGGATGTGTCCCATGCCTTGTGCCCAAATTTGAGGAGCTGCTTGAAATCCTCAAGGCCTCTTGAAAGGCACTGGAAAGTTGCTGGCAGTCATCAGTGTTGTCCTGTTCTTTCTCTCAAAAGTCAGCTGGTTTCTAGAGTTTTTTCTCTGTATTTCAGCAGAGGGGTGGTGATGGTAACCAGCCCTGTTTCCAGCTCCAGCACAGAGAGGCAGGAGGGGTTTATTGCTGCAGATGGTGCTGGGGACCTGGATTGTGCCAAGGACAACACAATGCAGAACCTCTCCTTCCTCTCCACAAGGCAACTCCAGCTCTTGCCCTCATTGCTGGATGGGTGCAAGGTGTAATTCTGTATAGAACATGGCTTTGTCCTCCTTTCCTGAGATTCACAGTGACTCCTCCATTGCCCTCTCTTCTACCTCTTTGAATTTTGGGGGGTTTTTGTGTAGAAAATGAGCCCAGTATAAGAGGCCTTGGGGTGCCTGGCTGCTAGGGGTCACATTTGTGCAGTGTGTCTCTGATGAGATGTGTAGGTCCACGGTCACTGAAAAAGAGTGACAAACAATTCCAGCTGTATTTTTAAATCTAATTGGAGATCCTCTCATAAGCATCAGATTGTGTGTACCCTGCTGGATTTAGGATGTAATCAATTAGCTTCCTGTACTAACAAGGCATAGAATCAATTAGCTTTGTATGGTAACGAGGTAGTGAGTATAAAATCAAGAATGCATGGTAATGAAATAAAATAATAGTGAAGATATTTACTGGAGATAAAACAGGTAATCAAATAGTTGAATTTCTGAGGTTCCAAAAATGAAATAAACCTTAGGTGAATGGTCCCTCCTGGGGCAAGACATTACTTTCCCAGAAGCAACTTGCAGCAGGGCTGCTTCTCCCACTGTGCTTGATCTCTTTGTGTGTGATGGCATGAACAGTTGTCCTTAACTAACTTTTCCCAGGGATCTTGGGTGGAACCCTACCACCAACCCAATCAAAACATTATATTTTTTTTTTCCAAGCCCAGTGCAATGACTGTAAATTCAGTAAAATCTGTTTTGTGCAGCTTAAGTGATGTGTTACAGTCCACACCTAAAAGCCATGAAGTGAGAAAAAACAGGGGCTGGGTGTCCTGGCTATCTTGAATAGCTGTGCTAATATTTATCCCAAAGTTTGGAAATGAAGTCACTCCCAAACAAATGGTGATGGATGCCAGAGGATTTTTAACACGTTGGGCTGCAGCCATGTATCGTCTGACTGTGCGCCAGCCGTTCCACTGCAGTGAGCTCGGCCTCATGCCTCCCCTTTTTCATCCTCCAGTCATTTCCTCTGACAAAACCCTGGTTTCTCTTGACCTCCTCTCTTTTCTCTGCTCAGCACCACGGGGACATTCAGTCACCTTTGGAAAAGATGCCATTGTTTTCACTTTGGAGACCCTCAGCTGCCTCTCGCTTGCACCATTTTCATTGCGCGTCATGCTGTGCTTTTTCCTGGGAAGGATATTGGCCTGCACAGTCCTCTGCATTTCCAAGTGTGAGCCCACACATTGCACAAATTAACTTTGTATTTATAGCATGCAGGAGCATTTCCACAGAGGAGACATATTTGGGTGGAATCTTGTAGTTCTGTAGTTACTCGAGAATATAGAAGGTAATTCAATTTCTGCAAGAAAGCATCTCAACCCCCCCAGTAATTGTATCTGCCTGTGCAATTGTTTGGGAAATACTAGAAAAGTGCAAGGCTAGAAGTTGTAGTATTACCTTGTTGCTTGGGAAAGAAAAGGTTTTCACTGCAGGATGCTCTGGGAGGAGGAGAAGGGCACAGAATGGATGTCATTGAGCTGAATGGCTTGGATGGGTGCACTGATCAGAGCATAAAAATCTGGCTGGGTGGTCAAATCCAAAGGGTGGTGGTAAATGGAACCAAATCCAGCTGGTGGCCAGTCCAAAGTGGTATTCCCCAGGTCCAGCAGTGCTCAATAGCAGTGATCTGGATTAGGGAATTGAGTGAATCCTCAGTTCATGACACCAAGGTAGATGGGAGTGTTGATCTGCTGGAGGGCTGAAGGCTCTCCAGTGGGATCTGGACATGGCCTCAAGTTGCTCCAGGCGATGTTTAGATTGAATATTTGGAAAAAATCTCTTCATGGTTGTTAAGCATTGGAACAGGCTGCCCAGGGAAGTGATGGAGTCACCATCCCTGGAGATGTTTAGAAGATATTTGCATGTGGTACTTGGGGATGTGATTTAGTGGTGACCTTGGCAGTGCTGGTGGTGATGGTTGGACTTAATGATCTTTACGAGCTTTTTCAACCTAGAGGGTAAATTGATTTTGAAATGGGTGTTGTTGGTACCCAGTCCTGGTGCAGAAATTCACTGTTTCATAACCCTCTTAAAAGTAGTTTTGAGGATTAAGCAATTTTCAGGGGTAAAAATCTTTAAATTCTTTTCCATTCCTTTACTGTAAAAGAGCTGATATTAAAAATATATATATATACTCATTTAATGCATATATGGCCAAAATATTTGTGATACTAAAGCCCATCTCCTCAAAGCAGCTAAGTGCCTAATTGCTGTTATTTCAAAGGGAGATAGACTCTAAATAAAAATTATGCCTCACTCTGGGCTAGATTTATCTGAGTATTTAGTAATTTACCTGCTTTTGAAATCAGTGAGAATCAGTATTAAAAATTAGCTCATGGGATTATGTATCCCCCAGCCTTCAAGTGAAACTTCTACTCCAGAACAAATACATTAAACAACTTTTCATTTGAATAACTGAAATCAATGAGAGTTATGCAGCTGGGGGCTTTGGAAAGTCCCTGGAGTCTTTCACCTGCATCTTTCAGCACTACACATGTCTTTGAAATTGTGGCCCTGAGGCGCTGCTGAATGTGTTATCTGTCCTCTTTAATAGGATGTACATGATACTACTATTATAGATGAGATTTCTGCTCTCGTATCTCTGGCTGATGAGGGATGAAGATTTGCAGGTACAGAACAGCAAGTCCCTAATGAGAGGAAAGGGCAGAAATGCCATCAGTTTCTAACTGACAGTTGGATAAAAACCTGAAAGCATGTCTAATTCTAGCTGCTAAAAAGAAAGTGATGATTGAATACATTGAAATAATGGTGCTCCCTGTCTTCAGAATCATGCTTTTGAAACTAA